TATTTTTTTTTTAATTAATTAATTAATTAATTTTATTTTATTTTATTTTTATTATTATTATTTTTTTATAATTATATAGGCCTAGATAATAATAATAATTGTTGTTGTTATTATTATTATTATTATTATTATTGTTGTTGTTGTTATAATACAGTCAATGACTTCAAATCCCAGGGTTCTCTGAACGCAAACGCAACCTCTGCAACACGATTAGTTTTCACAGTGCCGCTCTCGTGCAGAGCTCACGCGTTCCGGCTGAAAGGAGTTTATGGATGATAAAGTCGAGGTCTGTCAACAGGACACAGGTCTGTATACGCTGCAGAACGGACGGTTTATTTGATTTCAGTAAGTGCATGTCCCAGAACACTTGAAACAGGTTTAATCTTATGCTAAACATTATATGCGTTTGTATCTCATGTTTTGTTTTTTCACACAGTGCAACTGTCGTCCCTGTCATTTTGAATGCTTAATATTAAAACGTGATGACCTTTATGAAACAACACTTGTCATGCGGTTTTAGATGTGAAATTGATCACAGTTTTAGTGCATTGCAATTGAGCAGTTAAAACGAGCACGTGCTGAGAAAATCTGATTAAGATTTAATCCGTAGTCCAGAAACCTTTCAGCGTTCTCTGTACATTTATTTGTCCCGTTAAATGTTCACCTAGCACGAAAATGTGAAACTTAAATTCAATGATCATCTTGCAGTGTAGTTACTGACTTTTGCATTTTGTAGAGCTTGCAAATGTACTTAGCACTGTTGCTGTTATTAATTATATTTACATAGGCTATGTGTTGTAATATATTTACATATGCGCAAAACTGAGATTGGCATATAACATATTACCAAAAGAAGATGGTCATAACATGGTTGTGATTCTGAACAGAAAACTGGCCATAGCTTTGGCAAATATAGTGTTACTTAAGTTTAATGGTTTTATTGTGGTTTTAGATTAGAAATCATCGTTGAATGAAAGTTATGGGGGCACGAAAAGTTTTGGTGACAGGATGCTCCTCTGGAATTGGTTTGGCGGTGGCTGTCCGTCTTGCAAAAGATGAATTAAGGCGCTTCAAAGGTAACAAGACTGCATATGAATGTAAAAAGCCTCTTAGAATTTTATATATATATATATATATATATATATATATATATATATATATATAGTTTCATAACATTACAAAGGAACACTTTCGAAAACTTTTCCTTTAAAAATGAATAACTAACACAGGAACTAATGCAACATGAAAAGGACACTAGTAGTGCAATATTAACATTGCAGTAACTAGTATTAATTAACATCAAACTGTGATTAATGCATTAGTAATATGTGGTAGTTCACTATTAGCAAATCAGTAACTTAGATTTTTTTCATACCTCCCAGAGGCTACATCCAGTTTCATAATTAATGTGAAACTAATCAATAATTATAACATGACAAAATATTTTAATTTTAATTTTGATTTGATCATCTACTTTAACATTTAACCACTTACAGAATCAATAGATAATATGTTAATAATTAGTACATTTGAACATTTTAACATAATAACTGACTATGGACAATTTTAAAGAAATTGATATTACATTGCAGTTTTTTTGCACCTTACAATTTTCTGGCATCCCTCTGAACTTAAGACTATATCATGGAGACTACTGGAACATTTTATCAGCCATACACCAAATGCTTAAAGGGGTCATATGATGCGATTTTAAAGATAATTATTTGGTGTAACAGAATATGTTGACATGCTTTTTTTTTTTAGAAATAGCCTTTGTGCACAGCCAGCCTTGTACTCTTCTAGGTTCAAAAAATGCGTCCATAAAATGCGTTGCACAAATTCGAACATCTGGGTTGTGCAGTTCTGTTGTAAATAAATCCTAACCAATGATTCCTAATTGCATCTACTTCCGGAAGGCCAAATAAAGTGCTTTTGCTTTCGCACTGAAACACACAGCTCTCCTGACATGGCTGCATCAACACCACTGCTCTTGCTGAAACCACACCTTCTTTCTTTTCGGTCACCTTTGGGCGGCATTATGCTAATATTTCCACATAGTGATGTAGACATGTGGGGGCGTGTTAGAACGAGCCGTTTTAGGTAGGCGTGGCTGACTCTCAAATTCAAAGAGATATTCTTTATAAAATTTAAGACTTTAGTCTTTGCAACTTTACAGATCTTCTTTATGCACCTAGAGCTTGTAACACTCCAAAGAGAAAAGAAAACTTGAAATCGCATCATATGACCCCTTTAAAAAAAAAAAGGAAGCTATGAAATAATTTGTTTAACATACCTCACAGAAAGATTTGGTTCGATGTAAATCTTTTTTTGTTTCAGATATCTCTCCTAATCATTATGAATCTTTAGAAGAAATAAGATTGGGTTTTCAAAAGCTTACAATGATTTCAGTCATCACCAGGGAGTCATATTTTCACTAGTGGGTTTAACAGGATTTTCACTTCAGAATTATGCATTCTACATTATGTACATTAATTATGAAACTAAATGTAATTTCTTAGTAGTTCTTTGGGAGGTATGAAAAAAATAGTAGTTACCAATTAGCTAACGGTGAACTAATGCATTCAACTGAGTGCTATTACTTACTAATTCGTAAATCGAAGTTTGTTGTTATAGTAGCTACTAGAATGTTAATGTTGTATTACTCATTTGTTCCTGTGTAGTTATTGATTAGAAATGGAACAATATTCTAAGGTCTTTCAGAATGTACATTAGCTAATAATCAGGTAAGTGTAGTATATGACATAGTAATGTTTTTAATGTTATTTTAAGTCTTACTGTTGATTGTGCTCGAGTTAGTTGTGGCCACTATGAGGGACCTGGATAGGAGAGAAGCTCTGGAGAAAGCAGCTGGAGAAACCCTCAACAGATCCCTGGAGATCCGACAGCTGGATGCCACCTGTGAGGACTCCATCAGAGAGTGTGTCAACAGCTTGTCAGATCGACGAGTGGATGTGTTAGGTGACACTGAGAGTTTCCTTCATTCGCTCCATCTTAGTTCCTGAGCAATGCGGCTTCATAGCGACATGGCCAAAAGTTGAGTGTCTTTTGACTTGACTAAAAACTTTTCAACAAAAATAGTTATCTGCTTATCTTAAGTTTTTATTCCACATTTGTGTTACCACACAGAGTTCATCAGATAAACTTGATGCTCAAATTTGCATCACTTGTATCAGCAATACATTTATTTATTTACCAAAACCAATTTTTTTTGTACTAGATTTGTCGCTGACTTTAATGTTTCTAAAATAAAAATAAAATTAAAATAATATCTCCGTTTTCACACGTGTAACCTTCTCACTGCTAATGGTGGCAGGATACTGAACCTATGTTTTAAAGGGATAGTTCATCCAAAATGGAAAATTCTGTCATTGTTTACTCCCCCTCATGTTGTTACAAATCTGTATGATTGCTTTTTCTTCTGCAAAACTCAAAAAGATATTTTGAAGAATGTTGGTAACAAAACAGTTTTGATTTCAATTAACATCCACTGAATGGACAAAAAAACATACATTTTTCAAAATATCTTCTTTTATTTTCCACAGAAAAAAATGTATACAGGTTGATGACAGAATTTTGATTTTGCATTTAGACTCTGCAAAATGCTACAGAATGTTCACCCAAATCCTGTTTGATTTAGACCAGGGGTGTCCAAACTGGAGGGCTGGTGTCCTGCAGAGTTTGACTCCAACCCCTATTAAACACACCTGAGCCAGCTAATCAAGCTTTTACTAGGCATACTAGAAACTTCCCGGTAGGTGTGCTGAGGCAAGTTGGAGCTAGACTCCGCAGGACACCGGCCCTCCAGGACTGATTTTAGGCACCCCTGATTTAGTGAATAATGTGAATAATTTTTTTTGTAGTGAATAATGCCGGTGTGGGTATGATTGGTCCTTTGGAGTGTCAGAGTGTAAGTGATATGCAGGAACTCTTCAACACTAACTTCTTTGGCCTGGTGAGACTGGTGAAGGAACTGCTGCCTGACATGAAGCAGCGTCAGAGTGGACACATCGTAGTGATGAGCAGTGTCCTGGGCATCCAGGGTAATACCACAAAGCTCATTATATAAGCTGTACACATTCAACTAAAATAATCATACAATTACAGTTTAAAAAATATATTTTTAGAGTACTCCTTTTTTTTTCAGGACTACTTTTCAATGATGTATATGCTGCCTCTAAATTTGCTGTTGAGGGGTTTTGTGAGAGTCTTGCTGTGCAAGCTATGAAGTTTAATGTCAAGTGAGTACACAAAACTAATTCTCTAGCAAACTGATAAAAAGGGCTAGGTTAACTAAATATGCTCGGAGGTAAAATTCACTTTTAATCATCTGGTCCCAAAGTGATTTTTAGTGGATGTTCCATTCTAGTCTAAAATCTTAAGTGTATTTTTTTAATAAACTGTACTTGCAGGTAAAATAATATTAATGAAATAAAAGGCCACTTAAGTGTACTTAAAAAGAATACACTTTCATGACTATGTTTCTTAACACACTTTTGTACACTTAAAATTTGCACTTTGTAATAATGTCAAACTAAAAGTATTACTTTAAAGTCTTTTGTCATGCTTCAAAGAATTACATTTATTTTGATGTGCTTTAGTCTGTTAGTCTAAACATGTAAAGTACTGATTAAACAGTTAACTAGAGTATCATTTGAGATTACATGTAAAGTTAATATTTTTAATTGTAATAAATTGCAATGTCAAGTGTCCTAAAACATTACATTCAATTCACATTTGTGTATATTCTTTTAAGCATATTATTTTCATAATGACTCTTTTTAAAAGTATGCTATAGTGTACTCCTTTTTCACAAGGGTAAACATGTGACAACTATTAACATGCGACAACCACAAAGTGCCTAAATACCTTTTGTCTTTTTTTTTAAACTATGTAGTTTTTTTGAAACTATCAACTATGTACAGTATGTTAATGATGCATAAACATTCATGCATTGTAAGAATGGATTTTATACAAATCCCACAGGATGACGTTAGTGGAGCCAGGCCCAGTTGTAACTGAGTTTGAGAAGAAAGTGTATGAAGAGGCAGAGAAGATGGATCTGTCAGAGACTGATGAGGAAACAGCTCGCATCTTCCGTCAGATCTACCTGCCATATTCACGTAAAGTTTTTAACTCAGTCGGGCAGACACCTGAGGACGTGGCAGAGGTGAGTGTGTGGATGGGCTGTTCTTTCGTTCATTAAGGCTCCCTGTTCAACTGAGTGACAGAAAAATGTCTCATTTCTTATAGCAAACTCTCCAGCTGATTGTGTCCAAGAACCCTCCATTTCGTCATCAGACCAATCGTTTGTACATGCCATTGACTGCCATGAAGCATGCTGACCCTACAGGGCAACTACCCATAGATGCGTTCTATAAAATGATCTTCCAGCATGACCGTATGCTCAATGCTACTCTGAGTATTCTACGCATACTTCACAGGAGAATGGGTCATGGTGCTGCCTAAAAAGCCCTCAGAGGATTTTGATGGAGAAAACCAATTCAAAAACATCTCAGAGACCGTTTCATGGCCCAAAAATGGGTCAGTGCTCAATGCAAATAATAAAATGCAACAAACCACTATTAGTATAGCAACAGTTTTGCTACGGTGGTCGGCACTTGATGTCCAATGTAAAGTCTGGATCCTGAAGCACTGCTCTGATTTTAACCTCAAGACAGTTACCATGATCAAATACATAATGTTTAGTTGCAAATTGCAGTGTGTAACAGCTCTAGTGTCCTTTTCATGGTGTAATGGTTTTTAACAGTCAATAACTGCAGACCGGAGATCTCCAAAATGGGGCGTAAACTCCAAAAGTGGGCAGAACCTCCAAAATGGGGCGGGGTCTCCTCGCGCAAAGACTTTCACCATTCAGCCAGAGCGGCTCCAGCCAATTGTTATTGACTTACATTTCAAAATAAAACTTTATAAATTAAACATTGTTTCTAGTTCATCTAAAATAAAATATGCTATATAAATAAATATTCTCCGTGAGAGCAGAGCCCAAAGCTAGTGGCCAGTGGTGTTCGGACTGGAGTTTGAACCTCTGCTTAATGATATAAACGCAAATTACCCACAAGCCGTCCCAGCGCAGCGCAGGGGAAAGATTTTACTCCATGGCTTTGTTCTAAGCAACGGGGGTGTTGTAGGGTATTCGTAGGGTAGGAGGGGGTAGTGACGCTGGGTGTGACTAAATAGGTGCTATTGTCCGGTGAAGTCCGGTTGGGGAGTTACGGAACGATCTCATATGGCATAATCTTATTAACTGTTTATCTCCTGAACTGCAACTTTCTTTACCACGCTATTCAGCGCCAATCCCGCCGTGCAGTCAATTTCACTGGTTAAGGTTAGGGTCAGGTGTGGGGTAGGTTTAGGGTTTAGCATTTTTGTAGCATAGTGTAGGAAATCAACACTTTAATTGACACAACCAATAAAATCTTTAGAATCAGCTGTGGGGCGGAGTTTGCACTGAAGTGGATTGGGGTGAAAAATTGCGCATGCGTGTCATGTGCCTGTCTGTCAATGGGAGGAAGCCACGCCCTATTTTGGAGCTCCCACCCTGTTTTGGAGTTCTCCAGGCTGCAGTTATACCCTTCTCTAGAATTCAGAAAAACTTCCACCGGTGGCTGTTACGTGAACTGCAGCCAGCAACTTAGGCCCCGTCCACACGGAGACCGTTTAGCTGTATAAATATGCATACATTTTGTATCGTATAGGCGTTTCGTCCTCACGGATCCGGCGTTTTGGGAGAGTGAAACCAATATTTTTTTAAACCGGGTCCCAGAGTGGATAAATCTGAAAACGCCGCCCTTGCGTTTTCATGTGGACAGCGAATCCGTATATTTTCTGAAACGATGACGTCATCAGCCCACGTCTCTCCCCTAGTCAGACACCGCTACGTCACGTAACAGCAACAAAAACATGAACAAACACTGAACGCTATTTAATCTTTTTATTAACTAACATTAACACAGACTAATAAATGTATTGTTCCATGTTCGTTTGTATGCGCGCAAGGTTTATGTGCATAGTCCAAGTCTTCTCCATTTTTAGTGTATCTCTGTGGCAGAATTACAGCGCCACATACTGGTCTGCCATGTATACTACATGGTTTTGTGTCGGTTTCGTGGTTTCGTGTGGACGCAGATATTTCTTGAGACTAGGGGAAAAAAAAGATCGGATAGGGAAAGCTCTAGGCTTCCTGTGGACCTTAGCCTTACTTAAATTCAGTGCCCCGATATAGTCACGGCAGTTCTTTTTGTTCTTATCTAGTACAAAGGCAGCTACAGCACAAACATGCCACCAGAAGTGCAGCTACCGCGATTAGCACTTGCTCTTTCTCCCCGAGCTTTTCTCACACAAATAAACACACAACAAAAATGACAGCGGTGAGAAAGCAGCAGTTAAGAAAGCATCTGATCATAGCAATGTGGATATGTTTGCTGCAGTTCGGCATCACGACCACAGGTGAGGTAATTAAAATTACACTGTTATGTTATTTGATACTGAAGTGTTAGATCTGGCTATGTGAGACTATTTTGAATTATTTAGAATTTTCCCTTTCTTTGCGTGACACATCCACGTTACAGACATATAGTATATTAAACATTATGTAAGCATTTGTTTCTTGTGTTATAGAACGGAAGAGAGGCTCTCGGGAGCTCTCGTAATGTAATATCCTTTTGATATTCCAAAAACGTCCTCCACATAATCAGTCTACAGGCTTTCAAAAGCCCAATTCGGCAACTCGTTCCCGGGTTCGTAGGGTCACTAAATGCTCCACTGAATAAATCGCCATCCGAATCCGTTTTATCACTGAGGTGCCATCCTAGGAAGTCCGGGAAAGTCTTGTTTTTTTAAAGTTTCGCTACAAGCTGTTCATAAATTGGCAATAAGAAAGAAAAATTAATACATGAAAATTTTTAGCCCTTTAAAATAAAATACGGAAAACGTTTATTTTCAGTGTTTAGGGTCTTGCAAGGCTTCTCCCGTGTGGGAATATTATGTTTGGGTTTAAAAATAAAAATAAAAAATCCAATGATTCAACAAATCGATACTGTTGGAGCTCTATTGGTATTCAGTTCATATGACTCATGTATAAATTGGTACTTTAGTTGCTTAGCAATGTGCAACTAAATTCCAAACAAACAAAAAAACTGGCAAACAATTTTTTTGTTGTTGCTTAAATTAATCTCAATTATTGAGTGGGTTAGTGACATTATGTGGTTGCTTTGCAACGACATAAATGAGCTACAGACTTGAAGTTTCCCACGTGCAAAAACAAACAACTCTTGTATTCATGACTACATGGAGAAGCTGCAATAGCACTGAGTACCGATAGAGGGCGTGTCGATGCCAGATTTTGTTTTTAAATTCTCCATGTGAAAGCCTCTCCACCACGAATGGCTGATGGCGTTTAATCATTGAGTATCCAGTGAGCTTATTGTCATTATGAGCATCATTAAATAGATGTTTTGGATTAATATTTGACAAAAAGTGTTTAATGAGTACTAGAGTTTCCCAGTTTGTGTGTCCTAAAACAAAATAATGGATTCAGAATGCACGGAAATATAAAAGAGGTGAGACAAAGATTAAGACATTTGGGAAATGTAGTTTCTACTGCTTTATTAGAAGTAACATATTTTACAACTTTGTCTGTAGAAAGAAACTGAAAACCTGTTTATATACAATGATTTTAAACTACTTTTAAACAAGTATAGGAAATTAATAATGACAATAGAAAATATCTATGGCTGTTCTAGTTATGCAAGACCAATACACAGTCACATCATCACCTTAATGCTAATAAAAAGTACATTTACTTTTTGTTCTTTTTAGTACATATTCATTTTAGAAACATAAGACTTCTCATAAACAAGTAGACCTAAACAAGGTGAAACATATTTACAGAAGGGTACTGGAATTTCAAAAATATCTGGAAAACTGTATCATGAGAAGTGAAAAGTTGTGAATTAAAGGAAGACCTATGCTGGGTTAGCAAAGCTTAGTAGTACTTATGTACGATAACAAAGAGGTCCAGAATGTGCTCCAAAACCACCACAAGCCTTGAAATGTGGTACATGAAAATTTAATAGATTAAGCACAAATACTATTTAAAAAAATAATAATGTATGGCTGAAAGCAATGTTTATGTGCCATAGTTTAGTGAAATGGGCGTGTTCCTCTTGGTGATAGTAAGAAAACACCTGTCGGTGTCATCAAATGCAGGTCTTACAGTTGGAAATATTGAAGAGGGATGAACATACGGACATGTTACAGAAAGCCAGGGGCATCACTACATGGTAGCGTTTCCCATCTCACGCCTTCTGACCAGACACGACAGATGTCATCGTCTAGGCTGATAGGGTGGGAACTGCTAAAGATGCAGACAACACTGCATGCTATATAACACCTCCCTGAGGAGTGACAGAGCAATAGCAGACCATTAGAACCCTGTTAGCCATGTACCCAACACACAACACATATGCTTGCTATCCAAACCAAAAGGAGCTGGAATATGTTTAGACCACATGGAAATGCTGGACCTGAGGGATCAAATTACATTAAACTAAATCAACCACACTGCCTTGGCTTCATAAAGCTCCAGAGGAAGACTTTCTAGTGGTCAAGTGTCAGCTGCAGCTGTTCAGTATTGAAATGAAGTACTTGTGAGGGCTCAGGAACACAGTGAGATCAGTTCTGCAACGGTCATCGGCTCTAAGAGTGCTGGTTGGTGGGTTCTGATCAGGAATGTTTGAGGAAAGGAAGTTGGGTGTCACTGAAGAAGTGACGCAGAGCAGCAGCCTAATAACACAGCTTAATACATCAATGTTCCACAGGTAACTGTGGTTCCAAATGTGGTTATAAAAGGAAAAATAGAAAACAAATTTACACAAGGCAAGACTATAAGGCAGTGACTGGCTGGGATTTTGAGAGGGAACGGGTAGAGCATTGGCCAGCACAGGCCTATGTAAGACGGTGAGGTCACTGAAGAAAGTATGTTCAGTAAAATCATTTCCACTGATACAACACAACACTGAAAACATGCTAAACACTGGCCTGTTTTAGAGATGCGCTTTTATGCACTGTTGTTATAAATGCTGAACTAGGATTTCAGGGTTTTCTTACCGTCTTTCTCTCTCAAGCTTTTCCCCTTGAAGTGCTTCACAGATGCCCCTCTACATTCATACAAATACTTTTACAAAACGTATAAAATCATTTTAAATCAGAATATTTTCACTTGTATTGGTCTCTATATACCTCTGTTTTTATGTGCCAATCTGTTTCTGAATGCTAGACTAAATAAATATCACTAAAATTTGTAAAAATTCTAATCTCATTATGTGTGTGTGCATGTCACTCAAAAGCCTGGTGTATAAATTCCGACTGTATCAGTTGCTGCTGATGAAACTGGGGCGGAACTGGCGAACTAAGCAATCATGAGTTGCTCTTCTTGTAACAGTAGTAACATGGAACCTGAGGAGATCTCACAAGTCCCACATAATATATTGGGAGTAGTAAGGCAGTTGTTATGGGGGTCACTAAAAACAACAGAGACAGAAAGAGGGTGAAAACACCCACAAGGCAGTTTGGAAAACATAAGACAATAAATAAAAAAGAAATTTCCTTCAACATTTCACTTTTCTCTCAATCTATTTAAAAAAAAAGTTTGTTAGTTTCAGGAGTGTCCCCAAGTCTTTGAAATGAAAGACGTGGTATTCTTCATATACTTTTTTTTTTTATAATTAAGTCCATCTGTGACAGAACGTCTTACTTCATTAAATTGTCTTTTCTTTTTAAGACAACACAAAT